ATAAGTTTTGAATGATTTGCTTATATACATTGTACTATGGATAATGTTTTATGTCTTTTATAAACTAAAACGGAGTGGCTATTGACACTCGGGTTAGATAAGCAAAATACGGTATGCCGGGTGGCGGATTCCGATAAATTTTCATGTAGCGATAGTAATTGTGCGTAGGCGGTTGTGCATATCCAGATAGGACTAAGAACGATAAATGTAAGCTTTTGTCAACAATAAAACTATGTGAGTGGATTATTTACGATATTTAACAATGTGTATCGGTATTTTAACCGAAAGTCGATCTAAACCCCTAAAACATATAAAATTACTCAGAACATCTTAGCTGTAATAAATGCTCAGATCCCTGTGCTCCGAATGACCGAGTCGGAGGAAGGATAGCATGGTTGTTGGGATACCGGAATGTTTGGAAATGGCATTTAAAATGCATTACTGGGTTGTCATTATATTATTTAAATATAATAAATCTTTTGTTGAAGTGATATAATTCAATATTCATTTGGAAGTCGTAGTATCGTAAAGGAAACACCACATGGAAAACTACGCTGATGTAACTGAATGTTGGTGCCATGGTCGCCTTTTCCGAGATATCGTTGTGCATTAGTTTAAGAAGTAATGTTACAGCATAATGTTGAAAATTATAGGTTCACGAAGGTAACTGATGATCAAGTTTTAATCTGGGTTTTTTCTTTTTTTCAAATCTTATGTATGGCGGTTGGTTATCTAAAAAACAATTCTTGTGTATATGAACAAGATATGGTAGTCTTACTGATCCTATCATGAATGGCATATGTTATAGACGGGATATATGTATACATAATATCAGGACTTAGATCCGTGATAATATACTACAGTATATAAATATAAATCAAATTGAAATGTTTCTTTAAAAACTATTTTAGTCATTCCAATGATTTTGTACCACTTCAGGTCAGTGAATACTGTACATATTCAGTGTTTTGAGAGAAAGCATTTTTGAAAAATATTGATTTTACTTAAAAATTTCAACATTTCCCCCAATTTCCTAAGGTGAAAATTGTCAAATGCCTTTAGGAATAAAATATTCAGATATATCTTTTTAACTTACCTTACATAATGACAAAATATTTAGTGTGAAACTAGTTGTAAAGTAATAATTTTATCAAGTATGGCAAGTGAAAATATACCAGCAAATATAAATGAAAAAACTCTCACACCAATTTTACAAGAAAAAATCAAAATTTTCCCAGACAATTTGTGTGGTTATCTTATATGAGTTTGTAAGACAATATAACTGTTAATGTACAGTATATGAGGTTAAACAAAGAGTCTCTTCTTGAAATTTTTGGATTTTCCTGAAGTTCCATTATCAAAGACACAATAAAACGAAAACATCAAATTAGCTACTATGCTATTTAATTTTTTAAGGTTTGGCGATTATACGGCCAGTGCTTCACACAGATGTGGTTACCGACCCTGAATTAGAGTCATAGGGCAAACCAAACTGAGATAACTGCAGATCAACTTGATCAAACTTTTGGAAATTTGCAAAACTTGGGACAATTAAAATAAGGACAACTTAAGTGAACACTAGGAACAGATGTACATATCATTTTCCCCACTTTACCAATTACTTATTAGACAATAATTGGTCCCATTATAAATATTTGTGATTCAAGTGAACACTGGGAACAGCTGTAAACTTCAATTATTATGTTATTAAATTGCAAATACATTTTGTTATCTTCACAAACTTATTTCAAGTGAAACTATCCATTAAATGACAATTGGTTAAAATGGTAAAAATGTGCACCGAAGCGGTACTGGCGTTGCCTCAAAAGACCGCCAACCACATCTGGAAAATACTGCAGACCATGACAGACCGTGACAGAGCACCCATCTTACTTAAGTATTTTCTCAAAAATTAAAATGTTGAAAATAGTCAAATTCTTCCAGGAATAAAATATTTTGATATATCTACATACTAAACACTATTATTTACTTAACACATCAATATTCAGTCTCAAGTCAGCTAAAATGTCAGGATTTCAAGTTATATAAGTATACAAGGTTTTGTAATGGATGGAAAAAACTCAGACTTTTGAATAATACATTTCCAAATACTGCTCAGAGGGGGTAGCATTTACCCCATTCCTAACTAAGGTTGACAAAAGGTAGACAAAGACAAATTCCAATTAGAAACAAATCATTCAGATATATCTTCAAATTTCAAATAATCCTAATTCACAGCCAAATATTTAGTATGAAATATCACAATTTCCAGTTTTATCAAGTAAAACAAATGGTACTAAAAAATGTAGCTACCCAATTATGCTAAAAAAATCCAATAATTTAAGGATTTGGTTATCTTCTATGACTTTGTATGCCAATAAAGAAGTGCAATACTGTAAATCTTTAATTTATTGAAAAAAAGCGTATTTCGAAAAAATATTGATTTTCTGTTCAGCATTACTCGTATTCTCTTGGATGGATAATAGTCAAATTCCCCCAGGAACAAAATATTCTGATATAGTTTCAAATTCAACACTAATTTCACCTAACGGACAAATAGATAGTCTGAATCTAATTGAAATCTCGCAATATTAAGTTTTATCAATTATTGCAAGTTGCAATATACCAACTAATACTGGAAAAAAATCACATTTTTACAAAAACTGCAAACTGTCAAATTTTTTCTCAGAAATTTACTGGGTAATCTTCTCTGACTTTTTATCACTATAGAAAAGGGCAATACTGTAAATTTGCATTCATTGAAAAAAAATGTGATTTGGATAAATGTTGATTTTCTAAAATTTCATCATTTTCCCCATTCCTAGGGTGAAAAACAGTCAAATTCCCTCAGTAGTAAAATATTCTGATGTATCTTTAAAATTTACACTAATTCCACTTAACGGACAAATATCACTAGGTGAAATCTCTAAATTTAAAGTTTTATCAAGTATTACAAGTTGCAATATACCATCTAATACTGAAAAAAACACATTTTTACAAAAACTGCAAACTGTCAAATTTGTCCTCAGTAATTCACTTGGTTGTCTTCTCTGACTTTGTATCACTATGAAACAGTGCAATACTGCAAATTTGCACTTATTGAAAAAAGTATTATTTAGATCAATATAGATTTTCTCAAATTTCATCATTTCCCCCATTCCTAAGGTGGAAAATAGTCAAATTCTCCTAAAAACAAAATATTCCGATATATCTTCTAACTTAACACTTATTCTACTTAACGGACAAATGTTTAGTCTAAACCTAGTTTAAATATCATAATTTAAACTTTTATCAAGTATTACAAGTAGAAGTATACGAACCAATAGCTGAAAAATTGTTTTACAAAAACTGCAAATTGTCAAATGTTTCCTTAGAAAGATACTTGATTATCTACTCTGACATTGTATGACTTTAAAACGGTGCAGAAATTGAAAAAAATAGTTTAATTGGATAAAAGTTTTTTTCTTCTTTTTTAATTTCAGTATTTTCCAGATTTCCTAAGGTAGAATATAAAACTGGTCGAGATTCCTTCCCTATACCCATACATGCAGAAGAGACAAACTCAATCATACTTTCTATATTGCTCCAGGGTCTGGCTCTCTGAATCACTTCCAAGGGTCCCCCTTCCTTGATCATAACATGGAAAGAGTTAAGATCCGTACCTAAAAACCATATATGCAATTGCATTGTAGACACAGATAAATACCGGTATACTCATGTTCATATCTCAATCCAAGGTTCATAACATGCTCATTGAAATGGCTGAAATACCAAAGACAACTCTATAATCATATACACATTTATAATAATTAATTACAACCAGATTTGCTGTGTAGCATCCTTGATACCAGGAAGAATGAAAACAAATTGGGGATACATTAGCAATATTATTTCAAATGAGAACATTTTGCCTTAATTGTTTAAATATCAAGGTGAACAATACAAGACGCTTATTTCTGTATGCTCCCTAAAAAAATATACTAACAGTACATAGCTGCTATCCATCAGTTTGTCATGCCATCCTAGGTCAAGGTCACATTGAGGTCAAAGGTCAGATTTGTTGTCCGAGTCATACATTTTATCGTAAAAAAAATTAAGGAATAAACGTAGGATGGTAAGGCGATGTGTCGCATACTACAATGTACTCCTCGATACAAGTAATCAATCTTCAGACACTTTGCACATAGCTACACCTAGATACAAGTTATTAACCTTCAGCAGCCTTTTTTTTTTTATAGATGCAGATACATGTAAATGTTTGTAGCGATATAATTTAGGAATTTGTAGGTGGACATAATACAAATTTTAATTATAATGCAAATTATATTTACAAGACGTTTTTGGAACGAATGATAGCTTTAATAATTCATGAGAGGAAATAAATGAAAGAATAGAGTAAATGGAGGGCAAAAGGCCTCCTATTTAAAGTAACATGCTTTAAGAAGCGCGAACCTTTGTATCCCTCTAAATAGGTGCTCGGGAAATAAAATCTAATCTTAATTTTAAAGAGGAAATGGTTGCGTAATGAAACCCCTTCAACATGACTTGTTCCCTCTTCAACATAGTTTTGCCAGTTTACAAACCCTGAAATAAGATAATCAATTATTTGTCATATCAAGAGGTAAAGGAATCAGTTGTCATTTTGACAAAATTTGTTTTTGATTTTTAATTATATTTCGGTAAAGGAAAAGTATGTAAAATAATCTTAGATGAAAATGAAAATTGTTATATTATATTTTGATGATACTTTCTCCCTAATTCAAATGTGTTAATAATACATGTGAATAGCTGCAAAATCTCATTTGCAGGTTTGCTGGCCTGTTTGGAAGTTTTCCTAGGAAAATATTTCTCTTATTCCTCTGCGTTCATGACAGAACTGTCCAGTATAATAGTATGAGACTCGTTCATGCCGAGGATTACATGGTAGGAGAAGATCCGCCTTGCAGGTGTTGAATACCAATGGCCGAAAACATTGCACAATCGGAAACAAAACAAAGAAACATGCTTAAAAGAGTTTTAATTATAGGCTATTGGCATTACAAATTGGATATAAGAAAATATTTCAATTTACAATAAAGAATCAGCATTAAATATCACGATAGTATGTTGATCAAATGAAATAACACATTAGATATTACAGAGAAAAAATGTATTTCGTCTTTAGAGTGTCCAGATCTGATTAGTCCCTTCTGGTAATAAAGTCTAGCATGAACCATCGCTTCTCTTCTCGACACCACTACAACAAAAGATACAATATCTGAACTGATAATTAGTTGAGACAATAGCTACAATTAGTATTAGAAGTTTTGAACTAATTATAAAGGACACAGACGTTTGCAAAAAATGAAAATGTACCAACAACAAAACAAACGATTGAATGCAATGTCATTCTTTTGTACGCACAGTGATTTATTAGATCCGTGTTTATTAAACATTACCATGCAATGATTTAAGGCTTGTATTATTATAGGAAAATTTACGGATATCGACTAGGTACAAATGTGTCATGCCAACACATACCTGGTGGAACCCGTTAACGTTTCTCTAGTATACGTCAGTTCAGAAAACAGATAGAAAACATTTGTGTATGACATGTGGTATTATTATAATAATAATAATAATAATAATAATATACAACATTTATATAGCGCCCTATAATATTTAAAATTACTCTAAGGCGCTTTACAACATATGGTTAATAGTAATGGTTATAATTGTGAAAACAAACAACAAAGGCTTGCAATCACTTTCATACATTTAACAAGCAATGTGCACATAATTGTACAAATAAAAGGGTGGTATTTACATGACCTCTTTGCAAAGATTCTAAAATGCAGACGTGAAGAGGTGTATTAAGGATTTCCCAAAAACCAAAGTTCCCTAAAAACAAAGAACCATTCAATTGTTGTCCTGGTGATCAAATATGTTGACCTAAAACATCCAAGTTGTTACAGTAGCAAACCTAAAATGATACATGTATATTTGTTTCAAAAACGGTGATTCATACTAAAGTCGCTACGAGTATTGATGACATCTGAAACTTACGCGCAATCCAGATTACATTTGTTGTCGTACGTTGTGCCGTCCTTACCACACACAGGCACATATTCCAAAGTGCAAATACACGGTTTAGGACATTCTCCGTCTGAGGCTTTTTCCACGTTTCTTTGAATTGAAAATATGAACGACTTTTAATATATGTAAATAAAAAATATTAGCGTTTGATATATTCTCATGATTTGTTACTGTTAAAAAAGGTTTTTCATTATATATCAAATCAACGTGTCTATTCTTGGTTACGGTTTTGATTAATTCGTTGTCATTTTAAGAGTAAAATTCGAAAACACTGTATGGACATTGCAACTCTCAAAAACATGATGCTTGTATTGTATCAGTATAATCTAAATTTATAGAAAAAACATAACGATATAAATGAAAGAGAAGATTGAAGTTCTTACACAAAAACCCTATGTAAAACATAATTACCTGTAACGATTGCATTATTTGGAATGTATCACAAGGTGCATTATTGAGTATAATAAATGAAGACAGCCGCAGGTATAATGTCCTTAATGTGTGCAATATTCTATGATTCAAATAATATATAACATTATTACGTAATTACGTATTCACAATACTTTATTAACTTAAGTTGACAAAATAAAAATCGCAAAGAAAAACACAAACGGTTGTTTAAAACAGTGATATTCAGAACAGAAATTAAATCGAAACTATTAATATACGAGACAGGGAGTTAAAGTGTGTTGTCATAAATGTCCCTTGAACAACGAAACACTAATCTGTAAATCAAACACAACCAAATTAACATATACCAATCTGTCAAAATTAGTTATTATTCGTAAGCTTTTACGAGTATTTGTCACAATTGAAGTTACGCGCAATCCAGATTACATTTGTTGTCGTAAGTAATGCCGTCTTTACCACACACAGGCACGTATTCCAAAGTTCAGATACATGGTTTGGGACATTCTCCGTCTGAGGCTTTTTCCACGTTTCTTTGAATTGAATACTTGAAAGCTTTATTATCGAATTTAAGAAATCTTAGCGTTTGATATATTGCTTTGTTACTGTGAAAAGAATGCTTTTGTGATATTTGAAATCAACAATGTCTTTATTGAATTTAGTTTTGATCAACGCTTTGGCACTATAAGGAGAAAAGCCGAAGGCGTTGCATAGACAACGATGTCCTCAAATAAATTATGTTGTAATTTTATTAGTACAATTTAGATTGAAAAGAAACCTTTAAAGATTAAATTTAAAGAGAAAAAAGGAATACTTCCAAAAAGTCTTTATTTAAGACATAAGTACCAGAAGCGAGTGCATTATTTGGAATTGATCACANAAGGAATACTTCCAAAAAGTCTTTATTTAAGACATAAGTACCAGAAGCGAGTGCATTATTTGGAATTGATCACAATGATGGTGATTTACTGAGTAAAATATGCGACGACAGCCAAAGGTATGATGTTTTTAATGTGTGTAATATTTTATACTCCCAGTGATATGTTCCCTTATTTCGTACACCAACATCTTGTAAACTACGATTGACCACAAACCGTGAAATTGGTTGTAAAAAAGTTCCCCAGTGTCACTGAATGAAATCACTTAGAAAAATTCAATGATTCTGTTTGTTACTTGTACATATGGTTATTGATATCTTTTATGTTACTCACGCACAGTCCATATGACACTCGTTGTTGTACGTGCTTCCGTCCGTCCCGCAGACTGGTTTGAGAATACGGGAACATAAACATTGAGGTGGCTCGGTCGGACATGTGCCATCGGAGAGAAGCTCTACGCCGCTGTAAGAAAACAATAACATTTTTTCCAACATGTGGATGTGGTGAAACTTAATTGTAATATTAAGATTTATAATATATATGGTAACCTAAAATATCTAAGTTGTTACAGTAGCAAACTTAAAATGATATATTTGTTTC